AACCAGAACTCAACTGTCTTTACCTTCTGTGGGGAATTGTGAAGATGTCCCACATTTATGAGGAACCAAGGAGAATGCCTGCTTCCTGGGCAGCTTGAAGAGTGCCATGTGCCTTGTGTTTCTGAGCTCTCAGGCAAGCTGCCCTTACCTTCTCTGGGGCAGCTAGAAGTGACGGAGATGAAAGATGAAGAAGCCTTCTTCTCAGGTGCATAGTAACAGGGGAAGGGCCAAGAGGTAACTGAGAATGTGAGCCTGTAGGAAAGCCTCAGAGTAGAGGGGCTTCCATATGGGCCATCAATATTAATGATTGACATTAGTCCTCAGAAAAAATTATTCTTCCTAAGTTTCCTTTGGGACATCAAGCCTGAGAAAAGCAGTAATTTTCTCAAGTTCACACATAAATACAGCATTAGTGATTGACTCTGGTTATAGCCACAGCTATCTCTGTAGGTTTGCTACTGCTCCTTGCCCCTTCATGCTTAGTAACAGTAGGTTTGTTGTTGCCAGTCACTGGGTGGGTCAGTGTACTCCGTTGGTCAGCTTTAACCATTTCTGCTCTAACAAGAAGTCAGACTCAATTGGGACATGGATGGGTAAGAACTTGTGAAGAAACAATGGACTTAGAAGTGAGTATAGAGGCAAAAGATGGAGTTAAAGCCTCGAAGGTAGAGAATAGTAGGAAGGTCATAAGACAGATAAGTGTTTTTTTCTGGGGACAGGGAAGAGGAATTACTGAAGGGGAAGAGGGGTGATTGACGGAAGGAAGAACTGATAGAGTCAAGCAACTCAGACTAAAACAAGATGTTTAGTAACAAAAAAGAGGGTCAAGTAGGAGAATCTAAAGGTAAGCTAGTACCTTAAGAAGTTTACCTGATAAGAACAAGTGTCATAGACTAGCCACTGCTGGTCTTCCTGTCTGCTGTCAAAGAGCATCACTGTTAGCTGAGTCAGAGGCCAGCAGATAAAAGAGGCCAGGAACTGACTGGAGAGGTGGCTTAGGGTTAAAAGCATTTGTTCATGCAAAGGACACATGTTTGAGTCCCAGGACCCACATGATAGCTCACAGCCATCTGTAACCCCATTTCCAGGGGATACAACTGGCACACATATGGTACATATACATGCATTCAGGCAAAACGTTTATACACATAAAATAAAAGAAATCTTTTATTTAAATAGGTAAAGATAATACCTCATAGATGGGGCTGAAGGGAGATCTCAGCAGTTAAGAGCCTGTGTTGCTCCTTCCAGAGCGCCAAGGTTTAATTTTCAGTACCTACATGGCAGCTGACAACCATCTAATTCTAAGTCAAGGGAATCTAATAGACTATTCTGGCTTCCTTGGGCACCAGGCACATACATGGTGAACAGACATACAGAAGCAAAATACCATACATGTTAAATATTTTCTAAAGGAGAGACCAGAGATAGAGTCCTTGTGGCAGAAGCAGGAACCTAGAGCTGATGGGGAGTAACAGTATCATCTGTGAGCACAGAGGCCTGGGAGCAGGAGGAAGCTCTGAAGTGTGCCAGTGACTCATGGCCTGTGAATGTGATCTGCACTTCAAGAGAGAGACACTACATAGGAAGCACATCTTTCTGGACAGATTATTAAATATTTCCAGTGTTGTCGGGGTGTGTGTGTGTGTCTCTCTCTCTTTCTCTTTCTTTTGCTTTCGAGGCAGGGCCTCACTCTGTGTCCTTTGTTGTCTTCAAATTTAAAGTATCTTCCTGCCTCAATCTTTCAAGAGCTTGGATTATAGGTGTGTGTACCACATCTAATTTTATAAGGTACTGGGGAGCAAATGCAGGGCCTCAAAAATCCAAAGCAAGCACTGTACCAACTGATCTGCATCCCCAGACCCACCAACTTAATTTTCATAGAAAGAACAGTTTTATTTGTGCATAATTGCTTTAAAAAGTGAAGTATATGACCAACCCCAAGAAGCTTATTTCACTTGTGAGCGCAGAGAGATTGAACAGTGTTCATTCATCTGGGCCTCAGTGAATAGAGATTTATAAATACAATTATGCCAATTTTACATTTCTCATTACATAAATATACATTTGTTTCTTAAAAACTTTATTAGTGAGCACGGTAGATATTTTGTTACCCTATGCCACATAACCTATGGAAATGTAGAAGTCCCTTCTTGGCCTCAGATTTTATGGCTTGGCTATAGAGAAGCCTGCACCAGAGCAGATCTCCAGTCCTGGGTACATTCCTAAAGAGTTTCTTTGCACATAACCATGTATTATGAGCATCTCTTTAGCTATTACATCGTGGTCACTGTACTGGTCAGCTGTACTGTCCACTGTGATGGCCATCCATAATGGTAATGGTCATGGACACTTGTAGTGTCCACTGTGGTGGTTAGTCATAGTAGGCACTGGTGGTCACTATCATGGACATTATGGTAGTCAGCTGTAGTGTTTGAGGGTCAGTCATAGTGGTCACTGTGGTAGTCACTTGTAGTGTTTGCTGTGATGGTCAGGTAGTCTGAAAATGGCCCCCATAGACTCATGATGTTGGCATTATTGGAGGTATGGTCTTGTTGGAGTAAGTATGGCCTTGTTGGAGGAAATGTATCACTAGGGGATAGGTATTGAGGTTTCAGAAGCTCAAGCCAGGCCTAGTGGCTTATTGTCTCTTCCTGCTGCCTGTGGGTCCCGATGTAGAACTCTCAGACACTTCTCCAGCACCATGTCTGCCTCCGTACTGCCATACTTCCTGCCATGACAATAATGGACTCAACCGCTGAACTGTAAGCCAGCCCCAATTAAATGTTTTCCTTTATAAGAGTTGCCGTGATCATGGTGTCTCTTCACAGCAATAAAACACTAACTAAAACAGTCAGTCATGATGGTAACTATTGTGGTTACTGCGTTGGCCATATGTAGTATTCACTGTTAGTCAGGTGTTCACTGTGGTGACCGTTGGTGTGATCAACTGTAGTGGTCACTGTCATAACTGTGGTAGTCACTTGTATTGTTCACTGTGATGGTCAATCTTAATGCTCCCTGTGATGGTTAGTTGTAGTTCTAACAACTGTAGTTGTGATGATCACTGTGTTGACCATTGATGTGGGCAGCCATAGTGGTCACTGCTGTGGCTGCTGTGGTAATAGATCGTGTTCACTGTGATCCTCAGTTGTAGTGGCCACTGCTGTGGTCAGTGTGGTGGTCACTTGTAGTATCCACTGTAATGGTCTCATAGCAGTTCCTTTCAGTTGGTTTGACTAATTATTTTTTAATAATTATATATTTGAAGTTATTAAAATATAAGCTAGATTTTTAAGACAGATACTGCATATATTTTCTCTTTTGGGAAATCTAGGTTAAAAGATAAAAGACAAATAAAGAAGGAATGGGGCCAGGATGAATGAGAGAGTTTTGAGAAAAATTACAAAAATAAAAAGTGTCAAAAGGAAATTTTAAAAAATTAGCTTTGAGGGGCTTGAGCCAGATTCAGTAGTTAAGACCACTTACTGCTCTTACAGGGGTCCCAGGTTCCATTCCCAGTGCATGCATAGCAGCTTATAACATTCATAAATAACTATATTTTCAGAAGATCTGACACCCTCTCTGAGCTCGGAAGGCACTAGGCACATGTGCACACATGCACACAGGCAAAACAGGTGCATAAAAATATTTAGATAAAACTTTGTTAAAAATTCTAGGTTTTAGCGTTTAGCACTGTTTTTTGTTTTTTTTCAGTGCTGATCATGGAACCCAGGGTAAATTGTGTATACCAGGCAAGTATTCTCTATATAGCCCTGGCTGTCCTGGAAGTCACTATGCAAGCCAAATTCTCCTGTCTTTACCTTCTAAGTGCTAAGATTAAAGGCGTTTGCCACCATACCTGGCACTTCCAGCCTTCTTAATATATGACATTTTAATAGACTTCTTGATGCATACTCTTTAACTATTTTTTCATATTTATTGGTTGATTGTGTGTACATACTACATGATATGTGTGTGGAGGTCAGAGTGCAATTTTGGAGAATTGTCCTTCCACCATGTAGGTTCCAAGAATTGATCTCAGGTGTCAGTCTTGGAAACAGTGTCACTGGTCTCAGATCTTATTATTAGAGGAAACATTGCTACTTTTATTGTATTATTCTATAAATAGCCAATTTGTGTAAAAATAAATGAGATGACATTTAGTTTCTTTGACATATTTTCCTTAAAAGTATACTTAGTAATTAAAGTACCTCAGTTACTGTCTTAGTTTTGGTTTTATTACTGTGAAGAGATACTATGACCAAGGCAACTCTTATAAAAGAAAACATTTAATTTGGGCTGGGTTACAATTTCAGAGGTTCATTCCATTATCATCATGACAGGAAGTATGGCAGCACACAGGCAGAGCCAAGAGTTCTATGTCTTGATCTGAAGACAGTGAGAAGACTGGACATGTTTCACACTGAATGTAGCTTGAGCATTTAAGACTTCCACAGTGTTATATTTCCTCTAACAAGGCCACTTCTCCTAATAGTGCCATTACCTATGGGCAAGGCATTCAAACACATGAATCTGTGGGTACCATACCTATTCAAACAACCTGTTACAAAAGCCAAGGATGTTAAACATAGTTATAACCCAAGAAATGCAGTCAATTCCAAGTGAGACTTTCTATGGTTCACATCTTTGCTCATTGGCATCCTTTTTGGCAGGTGTCTACTGTAAGAGTCATTACAGAGTTAGTTCCATTATCACCTATGCAAACAAATGGGTTGAGAAATGTAAAGCTATTTAATACCCCAGTACCTTGAACCTTTCCAGCTCTCCTCCAAGATGGAGAAGCTTCCCGCTCCAGCTCTCCCTCCTTTTCCTCTTCTCAGATGTCTTACATACGATACATACATGCACACTGAGAGGTCCATCTAGTTAAAGTCATTGCTTCATCCAGGATATCTATGACATTTTCATCTGCGTATTTGAAAAAATAAACTTTTGCCTTGAAGTCCTTAAATGTGTCTTCTCTTTTTGCTTCCCAGGCAGTGTTTGTGTGTATCTGCAGAGTTTTGCACAGAGTCTGTTCCGATGCAAACCAATGAGGGAGAAGTAGAGGAGGAAAGCAGCTCCCAGGTCAGTACATTGCTCAGCAGAGCAACAGCTGGAGTAGAAGTTGAGCAGCAGTGGCAGTGGATGGACTGAGTGGGTGTTCTGTTGTAGGTAAATTTTAGAAACTAGACTGATGAGATTTTTCTTCCCAGTATTCTTCTTCATCATGCTACATGATAACTTAAAAGTAAATGTGTGTGTGTGTGTGTGTGTGTGTGTGTGTGTGTGTGTGTAGATTAAACCCAAGGCCTGGCTTATGGTTGACAAATTCTCTATGTCTGAGCTATACTCTTACCCCTTTTTAAATTTTTATTTTGAGACAGGCTCTGGCTGAGTCACCTGGCTGTCCATGGACTTGCTTGGCAGCCCAGCAAGCCTTGAGTTTGTGATCCTAAAGCCTCGGCCTCCTAAGAGGCTGTGAAGTGGTTGAATCATTCTTAGAATGCTAGCAGTGTATTGTAAATTATATTATGAAAACTGTATATACTTGTGAAAGTTTGAAACAAACAAGAAGTATATAAGGCAAACTTTGTTTTGTGGGATGGAATGAAACATTGGCTTTCTTGATTTTTAGTTACTTAATGACATATTAGTTCAAAATCAGACTAAAAATGATAGAATACAGCTGGGCACAACAGCACATACTTTTAATCTACTTGGGACACTGAGCCAGGAGGATTTCCTTGAATTTGAGGCCAGCCTTGGCTATCAAATAAATAGCAATCCATCCAGGCCTACATAGCAAGTCCTTGCCTCAAAAAGAGGAATTAGACTTTAACTTTATTGTTAGCAGTCTTTTTAATTCAAAAATTTTATCTTTTCTATCTTACTTTTTTTATATGAAATCTTATATTTGTAATGATTTTTGTTAATGTAGAACTTTATCACAATACTATCTTAACTTAATTTTGGATATCTGTGAATATAAAACCAGTTTGGAGGATAAGTGGAATATTTTCTGTAAAATGTGGTTTTGAGCTAAGTCTTTCTTTTTTTAAATAATAATTTTTTTAATGTTTTGCATGTATGTATGTGCACCCCTACTGTACATGGTACATCAGTATGTCAGAAGAGGGTGTGGAACCTCCTGGAACTGGAGTTATGGATGGTTGTGAACCATCATGTCAGTGCTGGGAACCAGTCCTGTGTTCTCTGCAAATGAGTACTCTTGTGACTGAGCCATCTATCTCTCCAGCCCTCAATAAGTAATTCTTAATCATATGTTATAAGGTTATATAACAGAGAGTAGTTATTCTCTGAATGGTCACATTTTAAAGAAAGACAAATAAATATAAAGGTATTAATTGTATACCACTGTGAGTTCTGTGAAGAACAGGAAATAATACATAGATTAAAAGGTGACTAGAATATGAAATGTAAATAAAACATCCAATAAAAAAATTAAAAAAAAAAAAAAAAAGGTGACTAGGAAGAAGAGCTGGGATGGTGGAAGAAGGCCTCTGAGATAGATACTAGCTAAAGACCAGGAGGCCAGCTACGTGAAAAGTGAGGAAAGCAGTGTTCTAGACAGAAGAAAGGGCTAAGAGCCCCCGCCTGTTCCAGGAACCATCAGATGCCCAGGTGGCCGAGTGTGATAGCAGATTAGAGAAGGGCGTAGAGCCTGGGCTCCTCAAAGGCCACACGTGGACCTGCTCTGTGACCTGGGCAGCCATTTGCAGCTGTTTTCTCTGGGAAGAACAAAATATATGAGTGTTTGAGCGATCAGCCTTACCATCTGGAGACTGTTGGAGACAGATAGGAGAGGGATTGGAACCCTGAATTGCAGCTGTCAGGTGAGAGGGAAGCCCATGTTCCTGTAATAGTGTTGGAGACAGGAAAGACAAGTGTCTTTCTGAAGTGTGCTTTAAAGTTAACTGATTCCACCTTAGGAGGGCTTGAGGTCCTTTTGCATTACAAATCAGCAGAGGAATTTCCAGAAAAAGGGAGATAGCTCAGTTGGCTAAGTTCTTGCCATGCAAACACAAGGGACAGACAGACAGACAGACAGACAGACACACACACATACACACACACACAAACAATTCTCCTTTCTCCAAACCAATGAAGTGCTGGGATTATAGACACATTCAGTTTATGGGGTACTGGAGATCAAACTGAGAGCTTCCTTTATGCTGGGCAAGCACCCTACCAAATATATACATCTTTTTAAAGAAGTAATAAAAGCTAGTATGGTGGTTTATACCCGTAATTCTAGCACTTAGGAGGCTGAAGTAGGATTGCAAGTTTGAACTAGCCTGGACTATATAGAAATTCCATATCAATCTCAGCTACATAGCAAGACCTTGTCTCAGAGAACAAACAAAAATAGTGGTGGGCAAATCACTGTGGAAGATGCCTTCAGTCCCAGCCTGTAATCTTAGTATCGAAGATGCTGATAACTTGAGTCCAGAAGTTGAGGACAGCCTAACAAGAACCCATCTATTAAAACAACAGCAAATGACTTATTAAAGGGACAAGACATGAGAAAACCTATGAGAGATGGTTTTGCTGGAGATGCTCTGTGTTTGATAGGATGCTGTAATTTATAATAATAAAAATTACAGATAGACACAGATCAATTATATCCACTAGAATTATGAAGTAATAGTCATTGAATATGGGGATGGATGAGTTGAAGTATAGATGAGACAAAGGAACAGATTCTGGACAACTGTTGAAGCCTGGTGATGGCTATGTAGAGGTTTGTTCACATTTATTTTATACATACATAAGAATTCCTCTAATAAAACTGTTTAAAAGCTTTGTATATTTTTGTTTCTTTTTTAAAAAAAAGGTTTATTTTATTTGTATGAGTATTTTGCCTTCATGCATATACACATGTACCATGTGTGTATCTGGTGCCATGGATCTCCTCGAACTGCAGTCACAGACAGTGCTTCTAACCGCTGAACCATTTCTCCAGCTCCTGTTTTTACAGGGTCTCCTTATGTAGCCCCAGCTGTCCTGGAACTTGCTCTATAGACCAGGCTGGCCTCTTCTGCCTGAGTGTTGGGATTAAAGATGTACGCTGCTGCTGCCGCCACCACCCAGCTCAAAAGCGTTTTTTTTTTTAAAGATTGGAGAAGGCTGTGTGCTTGCTTGAGAAAAGAAGAAAAGAATGATTGAAAGGATCAGAGTAGAAATATAAAATGGGCTTTAGATTTGCAAGCTTGATGGAAGCTAAGAACCAGTGTGCCATGGTATCTGAGCTCAGGCCAGTTCCTGTTCCTACTTGGCAGGAGTGAGGGGTTAGGGAAGAAGATATTTAGAGGAAAGAGAGTGTCAGCTTTTCTTTGTTGTCGGCTCCTTGCTGGCAGGTCCAGGTGAGAGGAGAGAGGTTCCAGTCCAGCCAGGTCTCTCCGGGGCTGAGCAGAATGGTGAGTGTCTAAGGTCCAAAAGAAACACACCAGGCCGGGAGTCTTGTTGAAGCAGGAACTCAACTTTAATGTATCAGCCTCTTGCTTATATAAACTCAGAGCATAGGGAGGAGGAGTTTTGGTGGGGTGAGATGACATAGGGGGCAGGGAAGGGTGACAGAAGGTATGGAGTGACTGACAGGGCCAATGGCAAAGCTCTACATCAGCAGCAGCGGGGCAGAGGCAGGGCCAAAGGGGTCTTCTTGAGTCACCCCTGTATGGAAGTGACTGAGACAGGTCTCAAAACTCAAGCCAGGCTTGGATTTGTCCTCAAGGCCCAAACCAGGGCCAAAATGGGGCCCAACACTTTATATTGTCTTGAAGATGGAATCACTGATCTAGAAAATGAACTGCATAATTGAGAACATGAATAACAAGATTTCCTCTTGAAGGAAAAGGTTTAGAGTTGAAACTACAGAACAGGGGCTGGAGGTTAAGAGCACTGACTGCTTTTCCAGAGGTCATGAATTCAATTCCCAGCAACCACATGGTGGCTCACAGCCATCTGTAATGGGATCCAATGCCCTCTTCTGGTGTGTCTGAAGACAGAGACAGTGTACTCACATACATAAAATAAATCTTTAAAAAAAAAAAACAACTACAGAGCAGATATTAAGAATATTAAAACCAAGCATGCTGCCATTTACAAGATACTGAGAGACTGTTAAATAGAAAACAAAGATGCCTTAGAGTGGCCTGGGGAAGGACAGCTTCTTGGAGCATATTCCTCATGAAGAGAATCTCTAGAACGGTGTAATATTTTCCAGGCTTTTTCCTGGAGAGAGATGCTTACATTCAGAGAGGATTAGAGATTATGTATTTGTCCAGAGTTGGGAACTGTAGATTCTGATTTTTTTTTTCTGCCAGAAAGAGATGAAGTTGGCAGTGGGTTCCAAAATCCACAGTAGGTAAATCATAGATTTTTTTTTTTTTTTTTGGTTTTTCGAGACAGGGTTTTTCTCTGTGTAGTCCTGGCTGTCCTGGAACTCACTCTGTAGACCAAGCTGGCCTCGAACTCAGAAATCTGCCTGCCTCTGCCTCCCAAGTGCTGGGATTAAAGGCGTGCGCCACCACTGCCCGGCAGATAATTCTTAAATTATGTAAATGTGTACTTTCCATCATTGCTGTCTTACTACTTTTTGACTTTCAAAGCTATCGTTATTATTGCATGATGTGTGCATACATGCCACACATTACACCTGTGGAGGTCAGAGTTCAACTTCATGTAGTCCATTTCCTTACAGGTTCCTGGGGCTGGAACTCAAGTCACCAAGTTTACACACAAAGCACATTTGATCTGTCTCATCCACCCTATTATTACCCTTCTTTTCCTGTGTGTTGTTTTGAGACAGAATTTCTCTGTATAGCCCTGGCTGTCCAGAAACTGTCTGTAGGCCAGGCTGGCCTCGAACTCAGAGATCCACCTGCCTTTGCCTCCCAAGCACCACCATGCCCAGCTTCCTTGCTTAGTTTTCTTTTACCTTTTTCTTTATTCCTCTTCTTTTTTTCTCTATTAATTCATCAAATATTTATTGATCACTGTTGTGTGCCAGGAACTGTCCAGGTGCTGACACAGAGTTGTCTATTATATTGTGATTTTGTTTTCTT